GGTGAAAATGAGAAGAAAGGCTGTTCCAGAAGGTGCTATGAGGTTGTTGAGCTGTGGCTAATGGACCTCCCATCTGATGGTTCCTGCATACTTTTAGGCCCAACAAAGCCATCCGCATGATAACAAATATATTTGTTTCCATCTGTAAGGGTGCCATTTTGACCACTGCTTTAAAGTATTTTCCCCCACTGATTTTAGCAGAGGTTCCACAAGACCTGAAACCTATTTCAAGGGTTCCTCTGGGGTAGGAAGGTTGATAAAGATTGATGGATGCATTATAACTTAGACACTGTTATTACATCCAAACACAAACTGCTGAAGGTATAAAGTGCAAGCACCTAGAGGGGTCTGTACATAGTCGGTAAGGTTGAATAAAGACACCAGTCCATCCAGTTCAACCTGAAACTGAACATAGCTGCTGCGGCTTCCAATACCATGTAATTATGCCTAAATGATGGACCATTCTGACAGCAAAAAATGTCAACATATATGGGAATTCAGAGCTTGCTCCCCATAGTCTTATTGGCCTATCATTATGATGGGTTACTTAACTCAGTGTTTCTCAACCTTTTTTCCGTCAAGACACCCTTTAAAATATGGAGAGTCTTGAGGCACCCCAGTCTAAAATGTGAAGAACTATTCTAATAGTTTTATATAATGCAGTAACATCCACACATGTACGACATCCAACATTAGAGAGGATTTATTCTTTCAAAGCAAATACACTTTGCACATTGGTACTGACTAGTATTCCAATGTTTCTCTTCTCCCTCAGTTTTTCTCCATCACTGAGCTAATGTGACCCTAGCACTGATGGAGAGGGGTGGGGGAAGGTCAAACTAGGATGCTGTGCAGGCGGCTGACAACCTCCTTATCAACGGATGATGTTATTGGCTGTCAGGATGCCTGTGGCTAGAAGGTCATAATAGTGTACTATGAAAACCTGTGACTTTGTGTAACTAAAAGGCAGGCTTGTTCCACCCACTTGCTTGTATACAAGTTTTGGGCAATTTTTGGGCATTTCGCCAAGGCCCCCCTGAAGAAACCTCAAGGCACCCTGGTTGAGAAAGGATGACTTAACTGGCCAATATGTACATGCAGGACATGCAAGCTTCATCACTACAGGAAATGCTGGAGATTTGGTCTATCACTTCAGCTTATTTTGTAGGTTACTGCAAGTATGTGAATCTCTAGGTGCCTGCAGTTATACCAGCAATATTATTTTGGGTGGTGGTGGAGCGGAGGCAATGACAGATCCTCTTTAAAGTATAAAGTATGTTGGTTAAAAATGAAATTTCTTGATGAATGCTGATTGAATGGGAGGGCCATCAGTGATGTGGCTATCAGTCCCAATGGAAATGGAGTATAGCTGTCAGGTCATAGTGTGGGTTGGGGGTTTGCCCTTGTCAGTGGATATAAAGAAGGTAAATGTTTGCAGGGATAGACTATGACATGCTTTGTACTGTGTTACATCATATTAAGTTATTTTATGCTACACACATATTCCAATTGGGACTATCCAGAAAAAAAAAGAAACATAGAAGCCACCACTTAAGTAAACCTGTCACATAATCTAAGTAATGATTCCAATATATGAACTTAAAAGTAGAAAAGAAGGGTGCTTGTGCATACCGGTCTTTGCATACAATTGATATACAAATGTCCATGAACTCTTTTATGAAATCAGAGCTCTGGCATCTTCTGCTCTCTTGTATGCTCTATGCCTAGTGCCATTCATGAGTTAAGCCCCAGCTATGCCAATCAAGAAATACAAAGGTTCTACTAAGGTCCTGATATAAGATTTAGAAGAAAAATAAAGCAGGGGTAGCCCCAAATTAGAGTTAAAGTTGAGGTCTCTGTAAAGCACACATAACATATTAAAGGGCTTCTTGGCTCAAAGAATACAGTTTTAAAGGATAACCAGGTTCTTTGTCAACACCAAGTTTGTCTATACACTTTTGTGGTCTGACAGGTTCACTTTAAGCAGTCCCCATTTTCACAGGTATGGTACAGATAAGTAGCTGCTATCTTCTTACGATCTTACCACTGGACTTGGGTCATACTGTAGTACAACATGATGCAGGAACACCATAATATAAGCAGGGTGCTCTTTTACAAGTTCAATGCTCTGGAAATAGCTGCTTTGGTCATCAACATTCTGTAAAGACAATAAGGGGACAACGTTAAGTAAACAACTAAAGTAACAGTTCTCTGAAATCTACCATGTTTCATTATTGAATTCCCTTTGTGCCACCATCCCGGCCTCCGGCAGCCCTTACATTCATCATTTTTGTTTGTTCAACCGGTGGGGTTGAAGGAAAAATATAAAATGCTTTGATTCCCTCATCCACACATTTGATGTGGATGTAGGAATCCTCCCCGATGTGCCATTTGGTTCTGACATCGGGGAGCCTTCCCCTGCTGCAGGAATGTAATGATCAGTGCTAGGGGGAATTGAGCAATCGGCAAAAACCGTACAGGCTGGTTGTACAGAAGTCGATCAGTAGAATGACTTCTGTAAAACCAGGGTGCCCATACCTGGATCGAAATTATGCCGGTCTCTGCTGAAGCTGCCAAATTTCAATCCATGTATGGTGGTCATGGGTTCGATTCCCGACCATGGCACCTCATGCATGGAGTTTGCATGTTCTCCCTGTGTTCGCGTGGGTTACCTCCGAATGCTCTGGTTTCCTCCCACATTCCAAAGACATGCTGGTAGGTTAATTGGCTTCTGTATAAATTCTCCTAGTTTTATCCCTGGCCATGCGGGATCTCCTGCATGGTAGGGGTTTGGGAAAGACCTGGCAACCTACCCTGTAAAAATAATTGCTAAGAGAATTCATGGAAGAAGTCGCTTAAGAGTGACGGTCCATGCAATCGCCAAGGGTCGGATACGACTGAATGGATAGATAGACGGTGGGCTTCAGACTCACCTACCTCCAGACCAGTGAGATAGACTGCACTTCATTTTGTCAAATTATTCATAGTCAGATGAGCGTATGGATTGTAAACTTTTCAGTGATTTCTATGGAGCTTTGAAACATGAACTTGTATTCAGAAGGTTTGTAAGAATGAATGAAAATGCAGAGGATATGTTCACGAAAATATGCTGACAAGGTGTAAGCTGCTAGGAGGAGGAGAAAGTAGAGTGAGCATAAGGATAACCTAAGTAGTCAGCTGCTGCTTCTTCACTGTCTGGGAATGAGGAAGTCAATGTATTCTTTAGGGGCTCATTTACATTTGCGAAAGACAGGGGGCGGGGTTCATTTTTACTGCCCCCCCTTTTAAGGCAGCTGTCAGGGGTGTAAACATGTCGTAACTGCAATTATACCGCTGTCAAGCTCGCCTGATGGTATTTCCCGCTGTGCATGAACCATTCAAGTGAATGGGGCTGCACTGCAACTGCCCCACAACCAAGCACAACATGCGCGGTTGCAACGTGGTTGTCCTGCATTTAGGTGGTTAAAGCAGGCAGTGAGGAGTCGTTGGGTCTTTTCACTGCCTGTCTAATGTTCTCTGAAGAGCAATCCTAACACGGATTACTCTTCAGAGAGCAAAGCAGGTGTAAACAGGAACTAATGAGACGTTTAAACTAGTTTTTGAAGCCTCACAAATGCCTGTCAATGCTTTCTGTCAATTGTGTGCATTGCAGTAGACAGTGTTGTTCATATGGTCGCATTTGTGGAGCTTCATGTTGCATTGCACCAAAATGTATCCGACATGTTCGGTTGGCTTTACTGCTCCCCCAGATGCCTCCATTCATGTTCACATGCTGCAAATGTGCCACCTCACAAATGTCCCCATGGCGTTTACAGCATGATTGAGATGTGATTAGAGAGGGTTACTAGTCCAGATGATAATACAAAAATCCATACAATAGAAAACCTACACAGAGGAGGTGTTTTGGAAGCATTATTTAATGTGACGCAAATGCATCAAAAGATGTTCAAAACACATCAGTAACACATCTTAGTGTGATAGGTGCATTAATGGGTAGCAATGGTTTTAAAATGTTCACAACAGTGCTTGAGCAGCATTTTTACCACTCCCCCTTTAGCTGCAGAGACAGCAGCTAGGGGTGTAAACATGCTGCCGCCACAATGCTTTGCTTCACAGCTATGGTAGAAATAATACCCCCTGTTGCTTTCAGCAAGTGTAACCCTCACCGAAGGTGACCCATTCATGTAAATAGGGCCACTTTGCATGCAGTTGCTGTACACTAGTGTTGGGTGCAAGGGGTTAAAGAAAGCGGTCATATTACGTAAAACACAGCTTCTCGGCCTTTTGGCTAAGATCAAGTGTAGTATCTGTTCTTATCAGTGTCCAGTAGGGGTGCTCCACGGTCATCCTAACCTTGTGGAGATGGCTGTTTGTATAGTACTCCTGCTGGAATGATGGGGGTCTGGACGGCTAGTACCGGGGGGACAGAAAGCGTGGTGCCCACGAGTAGAAGCTGGGGCCCGTGAGTAATTCTCCCGAGGAGACCGGAAGGACCCAGTTCCTCCTGATTTGGACGGATCTACCTTGTCTGGCCAGGGGTCGGGAAGGCAGAAAGTCCGCAAACCAGTGCCCCCCTGAATAGTCGCCTCAGGGGTGCCACTAGTAACACCTGGGTGTGGGACCCCACAGTGTGAAGATGGCACATGGTCACTGAGTTTCCACTTTTCTTGCACAGCGCCCTTAGGACCAGGCCTTTTGGCTAGGACCAGGGCAATTTTTGCTACAGGCCTCAGGGCCTGGTCTGTGCACTATTTGGCACGACCACTTTTTTATTTTTTATTTATTTAATTTATTGCACCTCCCACGTTTTGTCACTTTTTCTTTACTTATGTGTGTGTTTTCCTCACAGGATGGAGGGTGTGGGTCCTCGGGCCTGCCCTGAAGTCTAGGGGGAGGATGTGTGGCCTTTTGGTTCCTTCCTCCCCTGTCCCTAGGGGGTTTTCTCTTTGGGAGAGCCCCCTGACCAAGTACTGGGTGTCTGGCTTCGGCTGGACACAAGGAACGGTGGACCACCAGGCCTTTTGGCCAGGAGGACCAAATGGGAACCTTGTGCCTGTCAGGAGCTTCGTGCCCCGGGGGATCAGGGTAGTGGCCCATCCCCTTCGGGGGAAGGACAAAGCACACCCCTAAGTGAACTTTTTCGTGTGGTGTTTTGCACTTGCACATTTTTTGTGAACACTTACAGGTTTTTCGTTATCTGCACGTTTGCGGACTTAAAAAAAAAAAAGAATTAAGTAAAACACAGCTGGAGATGATCATATGGATCCCACAAGAATTTTCGGCATTGGATGAAAATAGTAGTAGACGGACACGGGATGTATTGAAAGTTTGGGATGGTTTACACAAGTCTATGGGTTGGAAATATAATTATTGTTACCATTGGTGGACACAGAATTTTTTTTCTCCGGGGAAGGGAAACGTTTTGGGAAAAATGGTTTAAAGATAGAAATGCACGTTTGGGAGATATATTAGATAAAGGGCAGTTATGCACTTTTCAAGAATTGAAGAAAAAAAGGAATTTGTTTTCGGTTTTAGATAAAGTGAGATATTACCAATTGGGACATTTTGTCTCAACACTTCCTCAGCCTCTGAGGATGGCCGGGTACATGCTCCCATTTGAAAGACTGCTGAGCTCAAAGACAGATTGTGGACATATAATATCTAGGATTTACAAGATCCTGGTTGAACTGGGGGGAGCTGGATCTCTGTCGTTCTTGGAGGGTTGGGAAAGAGAACTGGGTACAAAAATGAATAATCACCAGAAGAGGAAAATGGTTAAGTTAATGCACGGGGTGACGAACACGAATATAGGTGAGATGAATTATAAATGTTTGTCTAGATCAGTGGTTCTCAACCTTCCTAATGCCGTGACCCTTTAATACATGTTGTGGTGACCCCCAACCATAAAATTATTTTCGTTGCTACTTCTTCATAACTGTAATTTTGCAGTGGGAGGAGTAGTGCCACATCATTGGTGTCAGTGAGAGGAGTAGTGCCACATCACTGATGTCAGTGGAAGGACTAGTGTCCCATCATTGGCGTCAGTGGGAGGAATAGTGCCCCATCGTTGGCGTCAGTGGGAGGAATAGTGCCCCATCATTGGTGTCAGTGGGAGGAATAGTGCCCCATCATTGGTGTCAGTGGGAGGAATAGTGCCCCATCGTTGGTGTCAGTGGGAGGAATAGTGCCACATTGTTGGTGTCAGTGGGAGGAATAGTGCTCCATCATTGGTGTCAGTGTGGGAGGAATAGTGCCCCATCATTGGTGTCAGTGTGGGAGGAATAGTGCCCCATCATTGGTATCAGTGGGAGGAATAGTGCCACATTGTTGGTGTCAGTGGGAGGAATAGTGCCCCATCATTGGTGTCAGTGGGGGGAGAGGGGGGGGGGGGGATAGTGCCTCATCATTGATACTAGTGTGGGGGGGAATTGTCCCATCATTGGTGTCAGTGGGGGGGGGGTAGTGCCCCATCGTTGGTGTCATTGGGGGGAGGAAAAGTGCCCCATTGTTGGTGTCAGTGGGGGGAGGAATAGTGCCCCATCGTTGGTGTCAGTGGGGGGAGGAATAGTGCCCCATCGTTGGTGTCAGTGGGGGGGGGGGGGAAGGAAATAGTGCCCCATCATTGGTGTCAGTGGGAGGAATAGTGCCCCATCATTGGTATTAGTGACACCAATGATGGGGCACTATTCCTCCTACTGACACCAATGATACTTACCTTGCTGACTCCTGCTCCAGCCTGGGCATGCTCCCTCCCTCTCCCATCTACAGCCATCATACCTGGCTGCAGCAGCACCATCTGCACACTACAGACACTTACATGTCAGCTCCCTTGCTCGATCTTCTTTGATCTTCGCGCTGCTGCTCGGCTCCTCCTCCTCGCCGGTGATTGGCCGCCTGTGTGCCTCTCCTGAGCTACAGTTTCGGCGGCCAATCACTGGCGAGGAGGCTGAGCTGTTGAGTGATCCCGGGGATGTAGCCAGATGACAGGGGCGGCATGTCATCCCGCGCACACATCGCGTCCAGGGAAATGTGGACGTATCTGCATGTGGGCGGACCCGCCTGGAGACTGATAGAGGAGTGGTGTCTCGGTTCCTAAGACTATTGGAAATATGTGTTTTCCGATGGTCTTAGGAGACCCCTGTGAAAGGGTTGTTCGACCCCCAAAGGGGTCGCGACCCACAGGTTGAGAACCGCTGGTCTAGATGGTATGCACACCTTTATGCTGGAGAGGGTGTGGGGCAATAGGGACAATGGCTCATATATGGTGGGATGCCCAAAAATGCAGTTATTTTGGCAGGAGATAATTTATCATATACAGGAGATTTGGGGGACATCTATCCAGAAGGATCCGTGGGTATGTCTTTTCCATAGAACAGAGTTGTCGGTAAAACAATATAAAAACAGTTTATTATACCATCTGATTGGTGCGGCAAAGGGTTTAATCCCTAGGTTTTGGAAAGCCCAGGATCCGCCAACAATGAGGGATTGGATAGAAAGAGTTGAATATGTTAGCAGGATGGAGTAACTTTGTTACATGGAGAAAGATGAAATGGAAAAGTTTACAAAGATTTGGAGTAGATGGTATGAGTTTAAAACATCAGAAAAATACATAAAAATTAAGGTCCCCCAATAGTAGTACCAGAGAATTTAAATGGTTAAAAGAGATCTACATACATGACTAGATCAATAGGAGGGGAAAGAGAGGATAAGACAAGATAAGACAAGATTGGACAGGGGTGTTTTGGGGAGGGTATGGGGATAAAGTTTATGTGTATGATCTAATAAGATTATATGGTAGTTTTGTAAAGTATTTTTTCCTAAAAGAAAATTTAATAAAATATATAATAGTTAAAAAAGAAGGCTGTCAAATGAACTCTGAAGAGTGATCCAAGCACAAATCACTCTTCAGATATCAAAGTGCATGTGAACCATCCCTTAAAGATAGTGGGGTCGTTATCCTGACTTTGCTGTCCAGGCTTATTAAACAGAAATTCTTTAGCAGGTAAAAAGCCCCTTATGTACTTTTTATCTGTGGCATTAGCTATATTGTCTAAGGGTTCAGCCATCATCTCAAAATTTAATACACTACTATGAATATAAAAGAGCAAGCATATAATCACATTTTTTTTCCACGTAAACTGCAAAAATAACATCTAATTAAGGAGTAAAGGCAAATTTCAATGGCTCAGCAAATACTGACCGGCTCAATATCATTCTCAAAGTCTTCATCCTCCGCTCCTATGATGGAGGGGCTGGTCATGGAGTGGGAACCCTGGATAGAAAAGAAAAAGACATTTTCCCGTTACAGAAAATACACTAGTCATGTTCAGCCATGATAAAGAACAGTCTTTATATTAAAGTGGACCATAACTTTGATGTTAACATACAGCTAACCCAGTCTTGCTGCGATGGATAAATACAAACTAAAAGAAGGGCTAAACTACAAACTTTTCCTGACTTTTTCTCCATTCAGTGCAGGTCACATGGCTATAAGCCTTTGATCAAAAAATCTTTTCTGAAAGAGAATTAGTCATGTGACCCCCTTTAGTAGCGCTCACATGACCAGATACCTAGGCTTTATTTGTGAGAAACACTAAGGCTCCATGCACACTAGCGGTTTTTATAAGCTAAAAAAATGCTGGAAAGAACACTGTATAAAAAACGCAGGTAGTAGTGTTTAGAAGAGTTAGCGCTTTATTAGCATTTTTACAGTACATGTAGAAAAAAAAAGCTGTTAGGAGAGTTTCAGTAGCAATTAGCGGCGTTTAGCGGTTTTTGTCTGCTGAAAAAATGCTCCTAAAAGCTCTACAAAGACATTTTTTTTCTGCTCCTAGATGCTGAAGCTCAAAAAAATGCTAATCACCTGAAGTAGTGTGCATGGACACATAGGGGTTTATTTACTAAAGCTGGAGAGTCCAAAATCAGACTCCCTTCTGCATAGAAACCAATCAGCTTCCAGGTTTCATTGCCAAAGCTTCATTGAACAAGCTGAGGTTAGAAGCCGATTGGTTTCTATGCAGAAGGGAGTCTGATTTTGGACTCTCCAGCTTTAGTAAATAAACCCCATAGGATAACACTACATCATCTGATGAAGTCACTGCAAAATGTCTAGGGCTTGCAATTATAGGGGGAATATGTGACTTTCATCTATGTCACAGTGCTCAGGCCCGCGTTTCCCATGCAGAGGAGTTGATTTACTAAAACTAAAGAGTGCAAAATCTGGTGCAGCTGTGCATGGTAGCCAAACAGACATCAGCTTGTTGAATTAAGCTTTGACATAAAAACTTGGAAGCCGATTGGTTTCTACGCAGAGCTGCAACAGATTTTGCACTCTCTAGTTTTAGTAAATCAAGCCAAATATCTAGCTATTCAGATCATTTGCAGGTTTGGTGGAAGAAAATCATCATTCAAGAGATGAACAGGTCTGGAGCAAATGCTACTATTGCCCTCTGCTCTGTACAGGTGGACAGTATTCTTCTGGTCTATCAACATCTGTCAGATAAAACCAACATAGCAGATGACTAATCCTGCAGACTAAGCATTCATCATTGGACCTCTTATCTGTGTATCCCAATGAGGAATGATCCAAAATTGTTTGCTTGGCCATACCAACCAATCAGCTCCTCCAATGTATTCTTCTATGCACAACGAGAGAATAAAATTAATAACTCTGATAGGCTGTTATGGCAACCTTGACAGAAAATTCTTCTCTGACAGTTGCTGATAAATAGGGCCCAGTTTAGCTTCAGCATGCCTAACACCTAATCCTACTAATATTAGGCCTGCGTGCCAAATACCAGTGGTTACAAAATCTATAGATCTTCCTGTTAACACTGATAAAACAAGAGACCGAATGGAAAAATACAGTCACAGAGAAAATGTTGTACAGCTGACCACATTCTCCATGGATAAGGCAGATACACAAACATTAATTTTGTGATATAAAAAAAAAAAAACCCATGACAAAACTCACCCCATAATGACCGTCTTCTTGATCCATTCTAATGGTCTAGGTGTTCAGGGAGCCAGAGAGGGACCTAAAAGACATAAAGAGGAGACGTAATGCGTCTTGTTCATAAAAGTAGAAGAAACTTTCTGCAATTTTTTAGCTTCAAGTGGGATCTGTGTTATAGTTTAAATCAGCCATTCTCAACCAGGACTCTTCAAGAGGTTGCTAGGGGTCCATTGGAGCTGTGACTGATTATCCTTTCATTTATTGGGCCCTGTATAATTCATTAGGCCAACCCCCCTTAGTAAAGCCAGATGCATGACACCAATTATGTTTTTAGCTGTCTGTAAGGGTGGCATTCTGACCACCCTGTAGAAGTTGCATTCTTTCTACTGACAACCAATGTGGGGGGCATTTTCCCCCACATTTTGGTTTTAGTACGGGCTTCCCAAGACCTAAACATTTTTTCTTGAATAAAAAGGTTGAGAAAGGCAGTTTAAAATGTAGATTTTAAAAAAAAGAAAAACTAATTTTAAAGAAGTTTGTAGACGTAGTTAGGTCAAAAATTAAGGTGAAAAATAAATGTCCTGCACTGATGCCTCACTCTTCCGTAACATCTTCCATCCACGGCAGCAGTCCCTAGTGGTGTTCTGACAATGCAGACAGTTCCTCTGCTACTTGCCCTTGGTTTCAGACAGCCTTTCTCAACCTTTTACCCCAGAGGAACCACTGAGGGAACCCTGCTAAAACCAATTAATTGGGGTTATTGGGGGAAAAACGTTCTATAAATTGGTGGCAGAATACCCCTTAGAATACCCCTTAGAGTGGTGGTCAGAATGCCACTCTTACAGACAGGTAAAAAGATAACTGGTGTCATGCCACTGGCTCACTCACATGGCATTGGTCTCAGATTTAGGCAGGCAACATCAAATGAAAGGTCAATCATCCACAGTTCAAGAAGCCCCTAACCTATGGAGTAACTCTGTTTGAGAATGCAAATGTTTGCAATGGTGTTCCATGATCTGTAGTTATGCCCCTGAAGCCTATACTCCCCTTTCTTGGTGCCCATGCCACTGAACACCACCCCAATCCTTGGAAATCTTCTCACATAATGCACTTAGAAACAGAAACCTCGGAAAGCTTTGATCTCCTGGGTCTCCCAAGGTGATCACTGAAGCCTCATGCTGACCTTTATGCCACCACTGTAGATTAGGAACTAGGAAAGGCAACTTTACTTTCTTCTCTTTTACATTTATTTTATGCAACGGGGGTTGCATTAACCTAAATATTTTTGAAGGTGTCTTCATATTTTACATGACAGAATAAAGTATTTACAAAAGAGGTAGAGCCAGTCGCTTTGATGATCCATTATCCATGGCAAGTAAAAAAATAAATAAAGAGGCTTTAATCTGACCCCTGGTGCCCACAGCATACCCCAAGCAGGATAACAAACAGGTTGGAAAGGGGTGAGAGGTGATGAATGAGCAGAATAATGGACTGTGCTAGAGACAGGAGAAGAATTCCAGGTATGCAGGACAAATCTCTCCTCCCCGCAATCTCCATACACCTCCCATAGTCAAAGTGTTCTCAGCAGTGGTGGCACTGACAGAGGGTGTAGCCAGGGACAGCTATTCTTCTCCTCACCCCCAAGGCACTTGCAGAATCCCAGCTGCTGTTGTCTGCAGGGAGGGAATATGGAATGTGCTGTCTAATCCTTATCTCCAAACACCTGGTGATCTTACTATAGAGGTCATTGTTCAGGAACGTCCTGTAATGGGATGACAATTGCCTCCCATTTGTGTCACACAGGCTTCCAACGAAGACTACAAGTGGGTATTAGCACAGGTTGTACTTGCATGCAGGGGCGGACTGACAACTCATGGGGCCCCCGGGCAATAGGGGATCATGGGGCCCCTGTGTCCTTGCCCAAACTCAAAAAAGCCTATGAAAAAGGTACCAGGGGCATCTCATGGGGCCCCCTACTGACCCCGGGCCCTCGGGCAGTGCCCGAGTTTCCAAATGGTCAGTCCGCCCCTGCTTGCATGGCTAACCATGTCACTGTCAGGAAGCCGGTCCACAGCAAGGAGGTGCAGCAGGTGCTGGAGCAAGTGGCTGAACAGATGGGAAATCAGCTTTATCAAGATAAACAATAAGGATGAAAAAATAGGAAAAGCACTATTTTATTAAAAAGAACAAGACATTTGTTATAATACACAGAGCTTTTTGCAAATAGAGGTCATCCAGGTGGGATTTAGATCAGTGGTGGTCAGCTTTCTTGATAAAAGGCCTAAGAGGCCTCAAGTGTGGTCCTGGACTTCACTAAAGGACCACACTTAATATTGTAATGCTATGGAAAGCGGTCAGAGACTTCAGACATACTACAGGGAGTGGTTAGAAAATGGGATTGTACTGCAAAAGACAAGAAAAAAACTGTAGACATGGCATGGCATCAGCTTCCAAGCCATTAGAGACTACGTAGGCACCACCAGGCTAGACAAATTTTGATTACAAAATTGAAGGAGCTAGGTGGAAAACTGTCAGTCAATAGTGACTGCATCCTATCAGATGCAGTCGTTGTTTGAATATTCAGGCAACCGCGGGTACCCTGGCATGCTCTTGAGACATAGTAATGATCAGGAGCCAGAAAGGTGAACTCCCATTTCCATGAAATCCAATCACAGTGATCATATGGCTGGGAAGGCTAAAAATGCCTCCAGACGTTTGATTTACTAGTACAGGGATAAGCAAACATTTGCCCTCTAGCTGTTGTGTAACTACAAGTTCCATCATGCCTGTACCTTGAAAGTCATGTTTATAGCGGTCAGAATCTTGCAATGCCTCCTGAAACTTGCAGTGTCACAACAGCTGGGGTGCCGAAGTCAGGGGGAAGGACTTAACATATGCAAGCTAAGATTTTAGTGTTGGATTTACATCTACTTTAATTGTTTTGGGTGGAAACGTCCTTTAATGTGTTCCAGTAACAAAAGCTGATCCTTCTTCTAGGACAGCAATGGGCAAATTACGGCCCGCGGGCCGTATACGGCCCGGCGGACCTTTTAATCCGGCCCGCGGATGTGGCTGTCAGGATGTGTGTAGGCGGGGCAGCGTGACGAACGTGAGGGGAGGGGAGCTAGGCTCCTCTCACAGTCCGCCCTGAAGACCGGAACGGCGCGGGAACACGGCGAGAGGAACGCGCGGAGCAAAGGTAAGTGAATTGACAAAGAACCAGCAAACACAAATGCTCCTGCGCTTGGGGATGGACTCGATGCAGGCTACAACCACATTAAGAATGTCCTGGAACATGCACACCTTGCTGCCCTCAAATGGACCGGGGAAATCCAAATATACTGAATGGGGAAAGAACAAAGAGAGGGCGCACAGGCCTAGTGCATTACCATAAAAAATGTTTAATAAAGAATAAAGTAGGTGTTGTACTCACAAACGACAATATAGTCAAGGCACATCATAAAAGAACAGCTGGATCAACACCGCGCTGAGTAACAGTCCGCAATAGGGCTCTGAGGAAGAGGCAAGTCCTCGAAACGCGTCAGGATTTTGGATGTCTACATTCCCTATTGCGGACTGTTACTCAGCGCGGTGTTGACCCAGCTGTTCTTTTATGATGTGCCTTGACTATATTGTTGTTTGTGAGTACAACACCTACTTTATTCTTTATTAAACATTTTTTATGGTAATGCACTACGTAAGTGAATTGACACAGGGGGGAATTGGCTTACTACTTGGGGGGGAATAGTACTGTGGGGGATGAAATACTATATGAGGGATGAATTAATATGGGGATGAATTAATATGGGGAATGAATTACTATGGGGGATGATTACTATGGGGGATGAATTACTACATGGGGGATGAATTACTATATGGGGGATGAATTACTATATGGGGGATGAATTACTATATGGGGGATGATGAATTACTATGCTTATTATGGGGGAATATTACTATACTTACTATGGATGACACATACACATCATTCATCTACTCTTGGTCCGGCCCCCGGGTCCAATATATGAACCCATTGCGGCCCTCAAGTCAAAATGTTTGCCCACCCCGTTCTAGGACATGTCATACTGCTTGGGCACACAGCACCCCAGCAATATGCTAACTCTTTCAAGTGGCTATGACCCCAGATTTATGCAGGCACCATCAAATAGAAGGTCAACCATCCACAACCCCAAGGAACCCCTAAAAACCTCTGGAGGAACCCTAGAGTTCCACTGGAACCCTGTTTAGGAATGACTTGTGTAGACAAACTTTATGGTTAGATCAATGAAAGCAGGGAGGTGGTCAAGGGGCCCCATCAAACTTTTGCTATGGTGTTTCATGATCTGCAATCATGGAGCATACACTTACCTTTCCTGCGGCCCATGCCACTGAACATCATGATCTCCTAGATTGTAAGCTCGAAAGAGCAGGGCCCTTGAACCCCTCGTGTATTGTTTTGTTACTGTATTGTCTCATGTACTGTCCCCCACTATAATGTACAGCGCTGAGCAAACCTTTTAGCTTTATATAAATACTGTATAATAATAATAATAATATTTCTCAGGATTGGAGTCATGTCCATTGAGAAACCGAAACTCAATCTCAGTCCCCGATGGCGGTCACACCGATTCCTCCTCCACCAGAGAAATATTAATAAGGCTTTGAAACTGCACTAACCCACAAAATGACAATACACTTACTCTAGGTCTTAGGCAGGGGCGGACTGACAACTCATGGGGCCCCCGGGCAATAGGGGATCATGGGGCCCCTGCGTCCTTGCCCAAACTCAAAAAAGCCTATGAAAAAGGTACCAGGGGCATCTCATGGGGCCCACTACTGACCCCGGGCCCTCGGGCAGTGCCCGAGTTTCCAAATGGTCAGTCCGCCCCTGGTCTTAGGTTTTAATTCCACTAGGACATTATCAGCTTAGAGCCTGTATTATCTCCAGGGTACATGGATGGATGTAAATGGTTATATGCACTCTGTAAAGCACTGCGTAATATGTCAACACTTTATAAACAAAGGACATATATAAATTGCCTGAA